AATACCATCAGTACATAAGACATCGAAAGATCGACGAGTTAGATTCGTTTATTTACCGTTGACAAAAGTAGCTTTCCGGACAACCATTCACTTAACGATGTGTCTCCTCTGCACCTCCATAATCAATGGAATACATAACTAACCTCTAAGTGATAATAAACAAGGTTTGATTGATCTGGAAGTTTCGATCTTCCAAATAAACGTGGTCACACATCCGAAATATTTTGAGCGATTATTTTCTTTCGACGATTTTTATACATAAAACTAATGACAACAAAAACCAAAGTTCAGAAAATAAATGGGAGATGAATCGTATTCCTCTGCTAGGCTTTGAAATGACAGAAGCTAGGGTCTTTCTCATATGCGATATGCCGTAACTCATGATTATGACTCACTGACCATCTTGATACTGCATAAGACCCTTCTATCTGTCGAACAAATATAAAGGATTTGCAATCACCACCAACAGGCTGCTTAGACTTATGGATAAAAAATATGCTTCGATACAAACTCCAGTTGAGTTTGAGTTGTTTTTCGCTGGAGATGCCATTTCCTTTCACATGCATTTTTTATATAAATATAATTTGGATTTCGATTACTGTCTCATATTGTGAAGTGGCAGAAGTTGCATTCTTGTAAGTTCTCAGTTGTCTCAGGAGTGACGCTTTCGTCAAAATTCCTACAGCAACGAACAGCTCTCTGAAGTTCAGATCAGTATTACTATCTAAATGAAACATGGCTGACAACAAAGCTAACTAGAACTGACATCGCCGAACTAAACTAATTACTTCTGCGGGTCCAATAATAGGCATTTCACTGGCGGCTATTTGATGGGAAAACGGTACAGGTAACAGTGGAGAGTAGAGGGATTTAAATATATTTTATACCCTTAAAACATCAAAGAATGTTCCTCGCTCATGTTCATATTAATTGTATGAGAAATGAATAGTAATAGATGTGGTTGTGAAGATCAACTTTTCTCAAACCTGATTACTGCCTAATTTCAAGGATAACTTCATAATGTAATAAGACATGATGCTTCTCATAAATATTCGATTCATGTACACGTCGTACATGAAATTGGCCTCATAGATAAGAACTTCACTGTTCTATTCTACTCATGATTGTCTTCAGAACACATAATGGCAAATTGATTGAAGGAGAAATCAGTGTATACAAAAAATTACAGTAAAGGCTACAATTTCACAAACACATAACATAATCCACTGGCTAACATTAAATCACAAGTTTATAACTACGGTTTAAAAGTATTTGGCTGTGTTAATTTGCTAACGTTGTCAACAAATGACTGTACTGGTCTTTTATATTTCTTGTTATAAGGAAAATGAACGAAAACACCGAAACAACTTCAACATGACAAATCGGAGTTGAACGATTCCACCATACATGATCCCAGTGAATATCATAAAAGATAGTTGTCAAAAAACATATATAAGTGAATATTATTAATTGTTTAATTACATTCGGATTACTTTGATTTAGTAGATTTTCAAGTGTTGTGTTAACAATACGACGTTTGACTTATTAGTTTTTAAATATAGAAATACAGATATCTATATTGTAAGCTTCATTTGATGACACGCCTAATGTTTTTCACACTGTGTGTTTTCGATGTATTACGGTATCAAATCAACAAGAGTAATTATTGAATATTTGCCGAATTGATCATGTTGTTTGTTCTTCCAGTTTGTAATCTCAACTTATTTAATAAACTAGTGTTCCATTGATCAACGAAAACAACAAATCACCCTGTTAAGTTGAGAAAATATATAAAGTATATTCATGCAACTGCAAACTACACTATCCGTACTTTTATGATTCATGTGAAGGGATTTTCATTGTCACTAATTATGAACGGTGTAAATAAAACCTTTACACATTATTCTAATGATTTTATTTACAAAACAGTTGTATTACTTGGACGTGGTAAGGCGGTTGATGTTTGATGTAATGGTTACTTAGGCGATAAAAAAAATTAGTATTTTATTGAATTAGACATTCAAATATAAATAATTATGCCCAGATTTTCAAATGGCCACAGGAATATCAGAAAACATTCCGTTCAAGCTATGATCAAAAGCTAGATGTCATCTATAGACACTTGTATGAGAATAAATCCACAAAAAATTTGGCAGACTGATGAGAAACACAGTTCTTTGAAATCAGTACTAGAAACAATCAAAATCAAAATTCAGTTCTATGAGAAACATTAAAGACGTTGACCTGACTAAACGGAAGTCCATAAAATAACAAACATGATCAGGACATATTATTAATAACTACAAACTTCAAATAGGAATAATATATTTGTAAAATCTCAGCGAATGAATTTGTAGTAAATCCTACGTTTCGTCTGACAATCTGGTCCAAGCTTTTTCAAGGAATTATAATGAAACATCAAAATTATCGAATATAAATAGGTAGTACATGGTTCTCCGAGTTCATTATACACTGAATAGGTCATCCAATCCACGTTAACAAAAAGTCTAAACTAGGTATGTATATTAGTGTGTAAGAGATGTGTGATGTGAAGTGATGAGTGTTCATATAACATAATTGTATAGAAAACGTAAGTGTTGAGAGGAGAAAATTACATTCACACTAGATAATGGGACTTATCAGTGAATTTATAAGGAGACCATACAATTTGTAATATATGTGATATGGATCATATCTGTCACAGTATGTATAACATGAAGAATGCGCACTGCTGAGGAGTCCCATAATAGGACGAAACGGCCGTCCAGTGCTTCCAGGCTTTCGATGGTGGTCTAGCTTCAATTGATTCATGATTTCAACTGTGAAAAATAAAAATAATAAAAGAGTGAGATTTGAAGAGTGTAATTTTGAAACTGTACATATGTGTCATTTTTAATGTCCCAATGAATTGTTTAACAAATTCCGATATGACAACTGATTAGAATCATTGAGTGTAATTGTTGTCATTTTAGATAATACGAATTAGATAAAAAAACATTAAGGAGTTCAGGTTATTACTTATTAATGATTGGCTGCCATGGCACTGCTAATTGTATTCCATCCCTCCTATTAATATTGTTTGGATTAACCCATATGTATAGGGCTTCAGCTGTTTGTCTTTCTTTGTAGGAATTGAAATCTTTTTGAAGGATTTTTGTATGAACGAAATCAATTGTATGACCCGATTCTATAGAGTGTAATGCTATCGCTGATTTCTTCTCCAGTTTCCTTACATCATCTGAGGATTTAGGAATGTGTTTCAAGCATTGTTTGTGTTCCTTCATCCTCACATTCAGTTGTCTTGATGTTTCACCTACATACGTTGCATTACAGTCACTACATTTGATTTCATAGACACAATTTTGTTGTTCTTCTTTATGTATTGGATCTTTAATTCTTACTAATTTTGATTTTAGAGTATTGTTTGTTCGAAAAAATACTCTTATATTTTGATTATTTAAGATTCTTCGAATATCTTCCGAAATTCCTTTCCGATATGGGATCACCACTGTGTTAACCCATTCCTATTTCTGTAATCTTTTTGTATTAACAATGTCGTCTTTTCTTTCATTCTTAATTATTCTTTTAATAAAATCGTTTGGATAATTGTTCATCATTAGGGTAGATGTAATTAAATTTATTTCGGTTTTCATATCGTTTGGTTCAGTGACAAGTTTTTGAGCTCTTGTAATCATATTTTTGACCACTGTCACTTTGGTCGAGTGTGGATGTGCCGATTTAAAATCTAGAAATTTTTCTGAATTTGTCAGCTTTCGGAATATACTAATTTTTAAGCCATCATAATCTTTCCTTTCAACTAAAAAGTCTAGGAAAGGTAATTTGTTTTCAGGAGATTCCAACTCTTTGGTGAACTTGATTTTTCCATCAAAGTTGTTGACAAGTTTAAACAGTTCATTCAAATGGTCCCGTTTTATAATGACAAAGGTGTCATCTACATATCTTAACCATACTTTTGGTGCCTGAGAACATATTGAGATGATTAGCTGACAACTGATGATTACACACATATGAATCCCAGAATTTCTATACTGGTGACAAATGTTTTCTCGGTGAAGTTATTGATTCTTAAGACGATAATGATTTTTGTACCTCGAACTATTTGTTACGATGTTGGTTTTTGTGAGCCTCCGAATGGCCTGGTACGGTCGAGAGTGGAGAGAGTCTGCTCTCCCTCTCCAGATGCTCTTACATGGCCACGCGTATATAGCCTCTGTCAGAGAACTGCCACTCACTGCCTCTCGCCACTGAGGTTCTGTTAACGAAATTGAGAGAACGAAAAGCGAATCTCCGACAGGAGCTTTAACCGGGTTGGTGGACATGGGAACTTCACGTACGGGAATCGGAAAACCCTGATTTCAAACCGATGGTGCACGTAGACTGGCTTCAAATGATATATGAACCAGTTGTTGATCACCAACTACCATGGGACTGCATCTCCTCTCGTTGCTCCACTGCCTTGTGGATCAGACCTTTAGGTCTAAGGCTGTGAGTGTGGGCCTCTAATAAAACCACATGCTTCGGTTTGGGCACCTGGGCAGCATCACATCCCTCACAAATGAGAATTGTGTGGCGCATATGTATCTGGCGCTTCCTTGTACCAATATTTATGTGTTTGAACAAATAATAATAATCGTTTTTGTGACTAATAGCAACTATGTCTAATATATCGAAATTTCAGTATTGGTTTGTGAGTATTATAATGTTTGTACTTAAGATCATGAACTGATTGATGTTGGATTCCGCTTGCGGGATCTTAGATGCGCAGCGCTGAAGAGTCTCAAATTAGAACGAGACGGCGGTTCAGTGCTTCCAAGTTTTTAATTGTGGTTTAATATCGATCGGTTCACGATCTCAATCAAAATCCGAATTTGTTCAGAAACTTCATATGTCAGCCTGTTGTTTGTCAAAACATTGAATCCTCTCATCATATTTAATTTTTTGTCAACCTCTTGTAACTAATCCTGTTAACAACGTTGTTTATGAATTTTATTTTTGATTTCAGCAAAGATGTAGGACAGCAACTTGGTCAACGTCTATGTAAACTTGATCCATTTAAATTTCAAAGAATGAACATGATTTATAAACGAGTATGTCTGTCAATTGATACTATAAAGTTGATTTATTGATTGGTTAACACATGCAGTTTTATGAATGTCATTTTCTTAACCTCATAGTTATTTCAAAGTATTACCATATTGACATTACTATGGAGGCTTCTTCGACACTACGGCGTGCCTGAGAAGATAGTCAATATCATACGGAACTCCTATGATGGATTAAACTGTCAAATCGTCCATGTAGGACAACTTACCGACTCAGTCGAGGTAAAGACCGGTGTTAGGCAAGGTTGCTTAATCTCACCCTTTCTCTTCCTCCTGGTCATCGACTGGATTATAAAGACGTCAACATATGGAGGAAAGCACGGGATACGGTGGACAGGTAGGAAGCAGCTGGACGATTTAGACTTCGCGGATGATCTGGCTCTTCTATCACAAACGCAACAACAAATGCAGAAGAAAACGACCAGTGTAGCAGCAGCCTCGGCAGCAGTAGGTCTCAATATAAACAAAGAGAAAAGCAAGACTCTCCGATACAATGCAATATGCGCCAATCAAATTACACTTGACGGAGAAGCTTTGGAGGATGTAGAAACCTTTACATATCTGGGCAGCATCATTGATGAACACGGTGGATCAGATGCAGATGTGAGGGCGAGGATCGGCAAAGCAAGAGCAGCATATTTACAATTGAAAAACATCTGAGACTCAAAACAATTGTCTAACAACACCAAAATCAGAATTTTCAAAACAAATGTCATGACGGTTCTACTGTATAGGGCGAAAACTTGGGGAACTACGAAGGTCATCATCCAGAAGATACAGGTGTTTACAAATAGTTATCTACGCAAGATACTTCGGATCCGTTGATCAGACACTATCAGCAGCATTCCACTGCGGGTGACAACAAACCAGATTCCAGCGGGTACACTTTGAGGCAATCACCCAATTGCCCCACGAGACAAGCCCTCACATGGAATCCTGACGGCCAAAGGAGAAGAGGAAGACCAACGAACACATTGAAGACAGACATGAGAAAAATGAATAGAACTAGAAAATAAGACTCAGGACAGAGTGTGTTGAAGAATGCTGGTGGGCGGCCTATGCTCCATCGGGAGTAACAGGTGTAAGTAAGTAAGTAAGTATGACCATCTTGCGAGAACGATCCTTTATCTTTGAATCTTTTCTGATATATTGATTTTTCTTTGTTTATTTGTTTCTTCCTATCCAAATGTTGTTTCGAAGAAACCCGTTAGACAATTTGGTGAAGTTCTTGAAAGTAGGACGTCTGGTCAACTCCATAATATTTTAGTAGCAATGTATAAGTACTATCAATGCAGTATAATTTTTTTATCGGATAAATATAAGAGTTTTTATTGAATGGATCTCATTTTCAGAGTATAAATCATTTACTTCATTTTGAATGCTTAAGAAAATACCTCCTGAATAACTGCAGCATAATCCATGAATATTCACTTCATCCAAATAAGTTGCTAATAGGTATATGTAAACATGTTTAACAGTTATACTATATAGTGATATATATGTATAACTCCACGTGGAGTTCCTCTGGAGCTACTGCTAGTTTCAGATAAAAGAAAACGGTTGAGTATATGGTTAGCGACCCCATCCCATAGAAAATTTATTTTCTAAGAAAACACAGTAACCCGAAAAATATGTATCTACTGTTATAAAAATCACGTAAGAATTAATCAAAATACATAAACTATGGATTCGCTGATGAGATTTTCGATGAAAATAAAAACACAATGGTGGAGAAGCTTTGTAGCTAAGGTGGATGATTTTGATGATAGCTCATGACCAAACCATCCAGCTCAGTGAACAAATCTCTATTAAAAAAACAATGTTTTTTTGGTAAGTTTCTGTTATTATGTAAATGATCCAGTACAATAAAAGCTCCATTTCATTAGTCGGTCATCTACAACGTAGGACCAGGCACATTTATGCATCGGTCCAAGTTGCCATACCTCGTTAGCAAAACAAGATCAACACCGAATTCATAGAAGTAGTTAATTTAGTGGTGATAAAATATAAAAGATAGGTTGTATATAAGGATATAGTATAGGAAGAAAGACAGATATCAAGCAATTTTAATCTCAGTGTTTAAGGGAAGATAAAGAGTGTATGCACATACGCCATTTTGGTTGATTCTGAGCCATATCAACTAGAGTCTCCAACAATTGGTTACGATAGCCACGATAGTCAGCCACTAATCAACCACCACTTCCTATTTTTGATCAGGTGAGGGATATGCTTCTTGACGTGTCTTGTATAGTGTCGACATGAAATACATAATTTACTTGGCATAAATAAAAAACAAAAATTACCTGATTTTTATTCATCTATTTAAAATCATGGTTAACAATTTTGTGGAGTTGGATACGAAGGGATCTATTTTCAACGGTTGTACAGCTTGATAATAATTTCGTTGAAAAAAGATCCCTTAGTATCCAACTCCTAAGAAAATAACCGTAGCTCTTACCATCCATGAACTTAAACCAAAGCAATTTTGTGGTTGAAAATAAATCTTAATATTTAAAACAACGTCTAAGAAATCTTCGTTTTCATAAGTTTGTCTCAGCCGTCTGAGGCGATTGCTATCCGGATCTTAAAGCTAGAGCTTTAAATCCCAAAAAATATGCCCAGCCACTCCTTTTACACTGGCCAACTTCAGGGTCAACTTGTTAATAATATGGTGACGTAATTTGATTAATGTTCACTTATTTTATCTACACATCTTACCATTGTCATTACCATTATTATTACACTTGCCAACCTTTCTAGAGAAATTTATTCAGCATCCATCCTTATCTACTATATCTGACCTAATTCATATATTCCGAATCGTTTTCTCTAGCCGGCCTACCATTCGGGGGTGTGTTAAGGATAAGCTTTCGCTTTGGGCCACATCGATGTGTATTTATAAATTTACTTGCTCATGTGGAGCACGTTATATAGGCCGCACAAAGCGATCGCTTTCCAAACGTATCTCTGAACACTATCCAGCTTGGCTCCTAAAAGGGGAATGTAAGAAGATAACCAGTTCGATACAAGAGCACTTGATCAATTGCGGACACATTGCTCCAAAAGAGACGTCTTTTAAAATAATCTATAGAGTTAAAGGAACCGGATCAAAGGGAGGTCGAATCAATATTTTATGCACTGCTGAGGCATTGGCAATCCATGAATTGAAGCCTGAACTTTGCGTGCAGAAACGATTTGTCCAACCACTTACCCTTCCTTGGCCCTAATTCCCTCATTGGGTACGTTTTTTGGTTTTTTGTACTTTTATCTGATTATTATCGGGTTTTTTTTTGTTTTTTAAATTACTACTTTACATTTAATCTCTAATCAGTTATTATTATTATTACTTTATACAAGTTTTCTTGATTATTACTCAGATTATTATTATGACCTTTGTGTTTGTCGCTCTTCTTCATATCTGTTAATTGAACTATTATCTGACCCATAAATTATTTTCTTCCTTACCCCTTGATTAGTACGTCACCTCATTTGTTATTTATTGTCGAATCAATTTTGTAATGCAATCTTTTTTAGCCTCCTATAGACATATATTTTCCATATTACTATATATACGAATGTACAGCTTAAGTAATTGATTTCATCGAAAAGAAAATTTTCTTCGCTGAATTCTCTTTTTCTTATTCAATGACATTATGAGTTATTTTAGTTATCATATTATTCTATATAATACGTAATTTCTGATTTGTAATCCCATATTTCTATCTCTCAACCCCATGTCAACTATGCATATATTCTGATCATCATTTATCTTACGATTTTATTTCACTTATAAACTGATCCAAGTTAACACTTTATATATTAGTCATTCCAACATTAACGATTTGATTAGATTTTATATTCAGAAGGGGTTTTGTAAAGATTTTAGTATTTTCATAGTTCAAAGCATGAGTCAATTGAAGGTAGACCATCATGGAAAACCTGAAAGCACTGGACGACCGTTTCGTCCTATTGTGAGACTCCTCAGCAGTGCGCATCCACGAACCCACACTCTAGCTTCAATTGACTCATGATTTAAATTATGAAAATACTGAAATCTCCACAAAACCCCTTCTGAACTTTTATTTTAAACAGGATGATTGATCTAGTATCATAATTATCAAATTATACTCATCGTTGGCTTGACGTTTTATTGAGTTCTGTTGTGTAGTTCAGTACAACTTCTATCTTTGTATATTTAATTTCGGATAATTATTCTATTAACAAACCAATGTAATTTGCAACATTAATTCATGATGAGCTTTATAAAGAACTAATTGATATTCTGAGTGTTCAACGTTTCCTACTTTTCCGTTCTGAAGTAAGTTTATACAGACTACGTAAAACATTTTCAATGTTAACATTTATCCATATTATTTGGACGGAAGTATAAAAGTGAGAAAACTATTCGAATCTTGATAATTTGTATCTACATAGATTCACATGTCTTCCAAACCATGTGAATCATATAGTAAACACATTTTCCTGGGGTTGACGAATAATCATTTGTGCTGTAATGAATTCGACAGTCTAGAAGGTAAAAAGAGAGGGGAATACCTAGTGAGCGGATTCATTTGAGCTATTGAATTTCAGATCCATGTTTTCGTGGCTTCATGTTTATGCCTTAAAACAGAGGTTTTGTTTTTGGACCCGAGTAGGTTCTTGAATGTACACTATTGAGTATTATTGTATTGAACAAGAACACAAGTGAGGACAATCGAATGCATTGAAGGACAAGCGTTACAGACTATCTCACTAAATTCTGATAACCATACAACAAAACAGTTAATTTGCAAGTTAACAACCAATTGTCTCAATGTTCACTGTTCCTTCTGTAAATATCAGTTCATCTTCTTTTATTCCATTGTTCGTGCATTTTCCTACCAATCACCCTTCATTTCGGTTCTTTTCTTTTTGGTCTTCTGCCAAAATACATTCTATGTCTGACCATCACCATATACTACTTATATGGATATAAGTAGACCACACTACAGTATCATACTGGAGCGAAATACATGTGTGATGCTATCTGGTTTTCTGTAGATGTCACCTCAGATCGGTTCATGATATCAATAACAATCATAAATTATTTTTAGACTGTGATCAGCATAAATCCTTTGTGTCTCCGTTGTTGACAGAAGAGCTTTATCGGTGAGACTAAACTATACTGCCGAGCCAATCAGAAGCTTTCGCGGGTTTTCAAGGTCACAGCGCTAAGTTCGGTACCTGATGCTTGTTTATGGTCGGTTTACACCGGATTTTAGGGAAGACGTGATAATTCAGCATCTACAAGAGAAGTGATCATAAGATTTTGGCGCTAAATTCAATTATCCATTTGGATAAATAGAGTTTTGGCATTATAGCTGATGTCAGTTCGTGATGAAAACCCCAAGTATGATTCCTAGCCTTAACCGTGAACTGTAAAATCATAATTAGAATTCTTCACACAGGTTTATACCCTCATTTGGTTTTAGTTATTATGTTGGCACACTCTCACGATCACTCTAGCGTCGCTCAAAGGTTGTCCACAACTTATAGTCTCACCCTTAACCGTAAACCCTAAACCGTAAACCATACCAATATACCAACAGCATAGAAGCTATGTGGTCGAGGCTAAAAGAATTTTTGAGACTTTATCATCGTTTCAGAGGTCAACTACTGTGGAGCCATATGGACGTGTTCTTGTACCGTATGCACTATGATTTTAGAACTTTTGAAGCTATATCTGACCTTGAGAAGTTTTTGGGTCATGTAAAAGAACAGTATCTCCTTTAATTTTTGAGTTTTGTATTATTTATTTCACTGTATACTAACTGTCTTCTGATTGGCAAATATTTCTCAAGGTCATTTAAGATTCGTTCAAAGGTCGGCAGTATAGTTTAGTCTCGCCGGTTTATCTTTTTTACATGGTCTCAATACAGAAGCTAAGTGATTCCAGTTTTCAACCTGTTTACATATCACTAATCATTTCAAATGATGAGATTCATATGATCAATATATTGTTATAAGCTGGTGAATAATTTTTGTCCACTGACAAATTCGATATTCTAGAACGTTAACAAATGAGATAACACAAACTTCGAACATGGCGAGTTACTTAAACCTTTGAACTGATTATTTCTCCTACCACCTAAATATTTCAACAAGTTATCTTTTTTTGTATTTACATATCATTTATGAGGATTCTTTGCACGACCTTTTCAGTCACGTTAGCGTCAAATCACTTAACGATGTTAAAAATTACAATCCGACACTTCGGGATCGTTGGGAATATGCGTTGAAGAGAATAACAGTTAATCAAGTATCGATTCTCAAACTGTTATTTTTCAAATTCACATCACTAAATGGTATAGAGGACTATCTTAAATCAATACTAAATGCAAACATGTAACGTATATGTGGTTCAAACATAATTCCAGAATCATAGTTGAATGATTTATATGACGATTATTTATTATTGTGGTGTGGTTACTTATTTTCACATAAGTAGTATATGGTGTAAGTCAGGCATAGAACGTATTTTGGCAGATGCTCGATTACAAAAGAATAGGAACGAAGCACAATCAGTATGAAAATGCGTGAATGACTGATATTTGCAGAAGGAACAGTCAAGATTGAGACAATTGATTGTTATTTTGCAAGTTAACTGTCAACTGTATGGTTATCGGATTTTTGTGAGACAGTCTATAATTGGTGCTTAAATACATTCGATTGTCCCCGCCCGTGTTCTCATTAACTACAGTATTGCCACATGTCTTATATGTTTGTCATCAGTAGCGATCAAGCAATAAGAAAACGTGAGGCATCAGCGTAGCCTTATTTGCAAATAGTGTTAGTCAAAATCTATGTTTTAAGTTCTTAGACGACAGTCTCAAGTGTTTAACACACTTAAATAAATACAACTATGTTTATTTTATCGATAGTTATGTGACTCTGAACTGCATACCGTATGCACTTACTGTTTTCCTTTATGAATCACTACTTCGTTGTTACTGCCTCTAATGGTTTACTTGAAACTACACGTGGCAATCTAAATATGTATGAATATAGCTTTCTATCAAAATGTGACTCATTTTCTCGATTAATCCTCATTAGAGTTAAACTTTCATTATTGATGTAGGAATATTTGTGACATTAGATGTGCTCCATTGCTTATTATTGATCATTGTTATTCTAAATCTACTTCATCAATATAGCAAGCTTAGAAAGAGAATACTAAAGCATCAAATAGAGAAAGTTCAATACAGGAATTACTCAAAATAAAATGTCCAAGATCTGAAAAATATACTACGTACGTCAAACTGAGATTTCTTACTTACTTACTTACTTACTTACTTACTTACTTACTTACTTACTTACTTACTTACTTACTTACTTACTTACGTACGCCTATTACCCCTCGTCGAGGAGCATAGGCCGCTCACCAGCATTGTCCATCCAACTCTGTCCTGAGCCTTCCTTTCCAGTTCTTTCCAGTTATTATTCATCCTTTTCATATCTGCTTCTATTTCCCGACGTAATGTGTTCTTCGGCCTTTCTCTTTTCCGCTTCCCTTCCGGATTCCAAGTAAGGGATTGCCTTGTAATGTACATTGATGATTTCCGTAATATGTGTCCGATCCACTTCCAACGTCTTTTCCTAATTTCCTCTTCAGTTAGAAGCTGGTTTGTCCTCTCTCACAAATAATTTATTCGAAAACACAATTAATGTTAACACTTATTCTAAATTCTGAAACTATTGTAGAACGTTTTGACCAACAAACATTCCTGCAATTAAGCAGACGTCATAGTAAAAAGAAACAATTTACAAATAGGGAAAATCCGCTGAAGTTGAAAAGCCAAATGGTCTGACGAACCAAGAAATAAAATACGTGAATCCAGTGCCTACTAAGAAACTCTTATCTCGTAGAAATTTCTCAGTTACGTGGGAAAAACGATAATGTCGATGTTCAGTTGAAAATTTTGGAACTTGAATAAAATTTTTATAAGCCTATCCTCCAATTTCATGCTTTCGTACCCGCAAGTTTTAAGAAGAGTTGTATCTCAAATTGTACTGAAATTGAAGACTAAAAATGAATACAGTCTCTTAAGGTGTCTCAATTTTTATGACCTGAAGAAATTCCAAACCTTATTCTTAAGAAGTGCGCTGACATTCTGTGCGGTCGATACAACAGCAGTTTTAACGAATCTTTTTATGCCAAAAATGTGAAGAAAGATAAAGATAATCCAGATAGCAAAGAAAGTATTTAGAGGTGAAAAGGCTAAATTGAGACAATAACAGTAACTCATTTTTGTCTTGGTTGTTTGAATGTTCTCATTCACGTTTGAGTCTGCAATCGATCAGCCTCTTATTGGTATGTGTGCATTCTATACGGATTGTCTTGATATTGCACTAAAGTGAACATCAAATCTGAGATGCAGGTACATCCAGCTGACAAGTTTTAAACAGAATGGATCGCGAATTGTGAGTTCCACTACTAGCCACCATTCATCTCTGCTTGAAATAGCAATAGATTTAATTTTTCTCAAGACTATCGGAACACCATTTGTACCAATGCTTAAGCCAGTAATAAAAGAGTTATACCCATCCATATTAAATTATTTACAAATGAAAAATACCTACCCTGAATACTGCTGTTGTTTTGTATCATAATATGATGTTCGGTTTGGAAAAGCGTATGAAGTATGTTCCATGCTCGTTTCTATACGATATCTCTTGATTTGACTTTCAAGGTGGGTCGCCTCAATAAGGATAGCTGGTTAACTGGTTGACTATGTTTTTATTTCACTGGAAAAAAACATTATTCTATGTTCAGTGGAAAGTGTTTTTAATCAATAGTTAAGGTCTGCTAGAAGGAACTGATTTTCTTCTTAACGCTTTCATGTTTTTATTCTGCATGACATATTAGTTATAGAGAACAGTTTTATCAGTTTTATGGTTGATCTCACTGTATGTGAACCAATTTCAGTCTCTTTAGGTTATTTAGTAATGAATGAGTTTCCCTTAAATGATGTTCTTTTCCAAATAGTCTGACAGCTAATTTTTCTAAATGTCAAAGTAACAATTTATTCCTAAAACCAGAACAAAACATAAACAAACTATTGAAATCCGATAAAAGTTGTACTATTCCAGATCGTGTACAAAAACCGTCGAAGGTCTTTTATCTTGGTGCAATGATCCCGTCTTATCTCTCTTGGTCTTCTCATGTTTTACTGTTATCGATGAAAATTTTCCGTGTGACTTACTATATAAACGAGCTACGTGTTTTTCACATTAGTGGACATTTAGTTTTACGATTTGTAGGTTTTCGTATACTACTTATAATTCTTTAATATTCTTCATTATTCTTTCCTTTTGAAAAAAAAGATTTTTATTTATTGCACAAACTGCTGAAGGCAGCTTTCAGGGTGCGTAATAAATCTTTTGAGGTTATTATTATAGTTCTAAATAAATATTTAAAATCATGCAAACTCCTGTCAGGTGTTATCTAATCAGCTACTATTCATCCATTACATTCTTATCTTAGTTCTTGTATATCTTCTAGTGGAACGAAACGCTAATACATTCGAATCCATACACTCAAGCGAAGGTATAAAAGCCTCCGAATGCCCTAGTACGGCCAAGAGTGGTGAGAGTTTGCTCTCCCTTTCGAAATGCTCTCACATGGCCACGCGTATATAGCCTCTTTCAGCGAAGTCCTATTCACTGCCTTCTCGCAACACGGGTGTTGTTTACGAAATCGAGAGGACGAACAGCGAACGGCCGGCGCTTAAACAGAGTTGGTGGACACGGAAAGTCCACCTAGGGGGATTTGGAAAACCCTGATTCCAAACCAATGGTGCACATGGGCTCCAATATTCTACATTTTTTTGCTTCTATGGAACAAATAAGCCGTCTAACAGATATTCATCGACAATTTCAATGGATTTACAGTTTTTATACAATTTCTATTAGATCACTGTATCTGTGTAAAGATTGAACTAACATTCCATGTTCAGGGTTAATTTTAACATTGATAGGGTAGATACATCATAATTGGCTTGTAAGTACCGTTTTGTATGTTTAAACCTCCGAGCAAATCCTTCAATTTATTCGGATTTATATCATTTGAATTAAAGGTTGGATTACGTTTTGTACCTAATATTGGTTATTTTATTGAGAATGGTAATAAATTACCGTTTATCTACGTTTTTGGTTCAGAAGGAGTTTTGTGGAGATTTCAGTATTTTCATCGTTGAAACCATGGGTCAATTGAAGCTACACCACCATGTAAACGAGGAAGCACTGGAAGGCCATTTCGTCCTATTATGGGACTCCTTAGCAGTGCGTTCCGCCTTGTATTTTTGTTGCAACTACATTTTAATGACAAGTATAAATCTTATTTATGATTCTTACTTTATTATATTTCAGATAGATTTGCATACAATAGATAAGGTGTATAAAGCTAAATATGGAATATATCTGTCGGATGATGTGAAACGAATTTACTATGGTGAATATGCCGATGCTTTGTTAAAACTTTTGAAAAAAGAAGAAATCCCAGATATATATCAACATTCAATACCATTACCATTACCTCTATTACTTCACGCGATTGAACCTTGAATGATGTTCATCCTCTTTTATAAACTCGTGGACTTTTTTGAAATAAGTTGTATGTACGGACACGTTCTTGATGTTTGTGTTGCTTACAAAATGTCAGTAGTAAAGTTACGTAAACGAATTATTCCTTTGAAATTAACGCTTGATAAAATAAAAAAAATAAATACCAGTCAGTTTAAACAAATTTGTTTAAACTCTAGAGATAAAAACTCTGATCTGGATGGTTTGATCGTTGACATTTCATCGTTCTTCTGAATGACATCATCAGTGAAAACTTCAGGTAGAAGTGAAGTGTTCGAATTTCCTCACATACAGCTCACAGCTTTTCCTGTAGACCTAGATGTTCATTGGTTTTTGTTGACCTTAAACCTGTCGTTGTTTACTTCTATATCTTGATTGTATCGCTCATTGCTTGAATTTATGGTTCTATGATTGTTCATAATTTAAAAATCTATGATCTGAGAGTTCACTGACGAGGCAATTATTCCATTACTATAAGATGTATCGTTCAATGTTTATATCGTTCATTACAATCTGCTGGTATATATCGCCTATTGTATGTGATCGTGCATATCAAGCAAAGAACAGTTCTTTACTTTGAACGAACAGAATTTAAAAGCTGCTAGGGTAGAAACTCTACAACCATGAACTCGTTGTAGCATTTTAAAAACAAACTCTTGAAATTGAAGTCTTCAGATTGCCTGAAGGTGATGAAATTATTCGTGTGTTTTTGTCCGTACACGTTTCCATTATCATAAGTGAATAACGAGGTCTTCGATGACAAAAATTGCAATGACAAAGGAGTTAAACAACAAACTATCGATCATAGATGTACTAGTCACCAGAACCGATACAAAAAAGCTCGAGACTAATATACATCGGAAACCTATCTACACAGATCAACTTCTCAATTACAATAGCAACAACCAAAGAACGCGTAAAAGTAACTGTGTACAAACTTTATTCAAGAGGGCGAGAAAACGCTACAGCACACTTGCCGCGCTGTGAACAAAGACAAAATATCTATCGATTATCTTTCAAAAGAATGAGTACCTTTGCAATTTCACCAAAAAATACCAACCAAATGCGTCAGCAGAAACGAAGTGCTACGAGGGAACTGAAGACAACTGGCTGATTAAAACCTTTTTACTGTACATCAATTTTACTGTGTTAATTGAATGTGTTTGTTTTACTTAACCTTTGGACTTGTTTGTTTATGTCATTATTTTCGGACATTTTGGTTTCTTTTGTCATTGGTTTGGTATTTGGGAGTTTTTGCTCCGGGAACCTACAAAATTGAAGGTTTGTTTTGTAATTGTTATAATTATTGTTGCTAGAACGACTTTGATCGATTATTTGTGCATCGCGAATAAACTTGGTATAAAAGCCATATCAGAATTTCCTGAAGCCATTTGCAATAAGCGTGGTACAAAAACCAACAAAGTGATATCAATCACTCCTGTGTAAACCGAAGGACAAAATGACAAAAGAAGAAAAAGCAAACATTATCTACAAAATAAACTGTTCCAATTGTGAAAAACACTACATTGGACAAAGTGGACGCGCCCTTCATCTTCTCCTGCACAAACATGAATAAGCCGTCGAATGCCGTTTCAACAGACTAAGTTGTATCGCGTAAACATGATCAGCGATCAACAATACAGAACTTTTTATTATTTTATTTTATTTAAACACTTAAATATTGGTACGAAGGGGCACCGAATACATATGCGCCGCACAAATCAAATGAGATTTGTGTGAGGGCTATGATACTGCACGGGTGCCTAGACTGAAGCAGGTGGTTTTCTTACGAGACCACAACCGGAGCCTTTGACCTAAAGATCTGATCCACAAGGCAGTGAAGCATCGTAAGGAGATGCAGTCCATTGTAGCCGGTGACCAACGACGATTGGTTCATACGCCATTTGTTCCCTCAGGATACTGAAAGCAATGTGCATCACTGGTTTGGAATGAGTGTTTTCCAATTCTACTAAGTGGACTCGCCGTGTCCACCAACCTGGGTGAAGTACCGGGCATTCGCTTTTCGTCCTCTCAATTTCGTAAACAATACCGGTGTCACGAGAAGGCAGTGAGTAGGACTTCATTGGTAGAGGCTATATACTCGTAGCCATGTGAGAGCAGTTGGAGAGGGAGAGCGGACTCTCCTCACTTTCGGCCGTATCAGGGCATTTGGGGGCACAATACAGAACTATAAAATATAGTAAAAATTTGATTTTCCAAACTGAATATCATGGGCTCCTACAGCGAATAATCAAAAGTGAATGAAGAATATAAATCAGTGATACAAATGAAATTACCATATTATTAATATTACTACATTTAGCCAATCTTAATGTTTATTTGTCTTCGTTCAATGTCCTTTTGAGTTATACCTTTGCTGGACAGTCACCGTTTACTGTTACATAGCACTTAACACTTGACAGAATTTCCGCTTCCAGTTACGATCTTGTTCAAGCTAACTCCACTAAAAAGTAAAGCCTATCTTGTTCATCGTATCAAGTTCACAGCCTTATCCTAGTACTTATCGTACACTTATGATTGCTCAGGATTCATGGTTAATAAAACATCCATGTCATGTAAGTCATATCGTGGAGGTAGATGTAACGGTTATCGCAATCATTGTTCAGTATCCATGATACTTTTGAGAAATTCTAGCAATGTTTCAAAGTCAAAATAACATCTCATGTAAATTGAATTTATTACCGCTTTTCAACTTTTCTTTTGTATGTATCATTATACCAGTTCTCAACTGTATGACTATGAAATTTTCTTATGGTTCCTCCTGAACGTCAACTTACTAGAGTGAATTATTTTTAATAATGTTGTTCTCTCTAAACTAGATCGTTATATTTGAAGTATTAGACTGTCATTTAGGACAATATCATCATTTAATTACCGACAATTCCAGTTATGATTCTTATCTATCCACACTGAGACACTACTCACAAACTTAAATAATTGTCTACTCAGTCCATAAATTATCCTATCAGTCAATTAATCATTCAATCAGCCACTTATTTTCTTACAAACTATTCATACTACTAATACAAATATAAGTAGTAATCTTATCAATGAATGCAAACGAACATAAAAGATGATTACAATCTGCATGCATCATAATCAATACAATGACGAAATCGTAACGTGCATTATTTGAGAGAAAGTACCGAAAGGCGAGTACTAATATTACTTCAATTATAGTCATAAGCGTAAACATAATATAAGCTGAAATCATTCAACACTTGACTAAGGTTGCAATGAATGTGTGAACAATAGAACAATCATGAATGCAACACTTTCGATTGATCCTTTCCAATATACAAGATCACTCATTCAATTAATGTTGAATTCAATACTTTGATCTTGAAAACAAGTTATTTCACGAAGTAGGTTTTATTTTTTGAACTTGGGAATAAGGACAACTAATGACATTTACCCTTTATGTTGATGGATTAAATGTACAATGATGAGAATGTTAGTTATCAGCGATGAAAAAGGCTTCAAACAAGTTAACGCTGAACGTCTATGCAAACATGATCAACGATTCATTCTGTGAATAGTGTGAATCAGAGGTACTTGATGTGGAATGTCAACAAAATTCGAAATCACAATTATATGAACACAGAATATTCTTTTTTATAATCCATAAAAAATTGGCCAAGTTTATAGCAGAGTACATCATTTAAGAAACTGTAACATGTGAATCACGAAGTGTTTGTAATAGGATGACATAGGGTGAGATAGAACATTGGGATTACAAATCAGAAATAACGTAATATGCAGAATATTATGAATTAGGTCAGATATAGTAAATAGGGTTGGATGCTGAATAAATTTCTCTTACAGGTTAGAAGTGTGATGATAATAATAATAATAATAGTCCCAGAGTGAACATCAACTCTGAGATGCAGGTACATCCAGCTGACCAGTCCCGAATAGGACGAAACGCACGTCAAACTGGATTCCACTGCTAGCCACTATCCATCTTTGCTTATCATGCTTGTGAATCAAGGCTATATCGAGTCAATACATACAGTATGCACATATGGCCAATTAGAGACTGACCAGTTGCAGTCCTAAAAACATCAATGGGAAGATTCAAAGCAAACAATACTAAATGAATTCAATAATATTGACTGGTAAGATGTGTACATGAATTAAATTAATGTCACCATATTATAAAACTGATTATTAACAAGTTGACGCTGAAGTTGTCCAGGATAAAATGAGCGGCTGAACATATTTCTTTTGGATGCAAAGCTCTGGCTTTTGGATCCGAATAGTAATTGCCTCAGCCGTCTGCAGGATTCTCAGTCTGATAGAATTAGGCAGACTTCTGTTAACACGATATATTATTGTGAAAGATTGCTCGATGTTGGCTCTATGTCACGTCTGAACTAAATTGGCGAAAAAAAAGAGCTGTTAACCGTTTTGACTACACCTTTGCTTAACCACACTGGAAGGTGTTCACGAGCCCGTGTATACAAATTCCTAGAACATCTGCCTATTTCAAGTGTGTATATCAGTATATTGATATATTTAGGAATTTAGCGAATGAATTGGATACAGTCGTTTCGTTGAATACCGATATAATAGTACATATGATGAGACATTGAATGAAATACTGATTATCACCACAAGATTTATGTAATGAAGCGTGAGAGAAGTGATACTGTTAAACAAGTACTTAAATAAAAAGTAGTAATTTCTATTACCGTCAATCATGCATACACCAGACTACGCTTTTTCAGAAGGGGTTTTGTAGAGATTTAGTTTTTTCATATTTTAAAGCATGAGTCAATTGTAGCTAGACCACCAAGGAAAACCTGAAAGCACTGGACGGCTGTTTCGTCCTATTATGGGACTCGATAGATGGTACCATGACAGATAGATAATATAAAAGTCATGTTAAATAAAGAATCGATGTATTTTAAATTGTGAGATGGTATTTCACCACATGTGGTTCACAGCCTGTCCTGAAG